AACAACATACAGATAAAATAACAACTGTAAAACATAATACAGTACAGAATAAAAAACTGAAAAAATTTAGTTAAAAATAGTATAAGTAAATATTTGCAAAGTTTTGTGATCAATGTACATAAGCAACCATGTAATTTTTGAAACGATGTAACAAATATGAATAGAGGTGGATTAATATACGTTTTTCTTCTTCTAACTCCTTTTTGAGAAATATGCTTTTTCTGTGAATGATTATTGTTTTTATCTTGCCATAAATAAAAACAAATCAATCAGTCAAAAAATAATAATCCCGAAGCCACCCTTTAGGGCCATAACGTCATTGAGATCCGTGTGCCCTCTGTGTTCATCTTTACCCCTTAAACACTTTGAAGTCTTCAGTGTAGTGGCTCTGACCTCTATATTCTCTCTGCTGTGTGATAATCGCATTAGCTTAAGTCTAATTGCCCAAGGAGAACATACTGTAACTTTAGAGTGAGTCCCCCTGTGCATCCAAAGCGCTTTCTCCACAGTATCAGACAAAAGTGAGAGGGGCTGGATCAGAGTCACATCTTACCCAGAGCAGAGGAGGTGAATCTGGGGTCAGGACCAAACTTTGGAACGGGAACACGACCAGGAAATGGGACTGTCTCTGTCAGCGGAACTCCCATTAACATCCTACAAACAGCACAAATCATTCATAACAGGAGGAGGATTACAGGAAAGGGTCACAGGGAGGAAGATGGGAAAGGTGGGAATCTGTAACTTTTCTGGTCGCCGTGCATGTTATTGCTTTGTCTGGAAACAATGGAGACAAGAAGCAGGCATGAACACTCCTTGTACTGTAAGAATATCTGTTGATTAAAGGTCCTGTATAGTGCAAAATTTACTTTTATTAGCTGTAAACCATGTTAAAAAATTGTTGCTTCATCAAAAACATACAGTCATGGATAAAACTGTTGGTACCCCTCTGGCAATGAAAGAAAAATCAACAATCATCACTGAAATAACTTGAAACTGATAAAAGCAATAATAAATAAAAATTTACTGAAAATTGTCCAACAAACATCAAACATTGCTTTTCACCTGTGGTTCAACAGGATAATTAGAAAAAAACAAAACAATGAAACTGGCCTGGACAAAAATGATGGTACCTTTAACTTTATATTTTGTTACACAACCTTTTGAGACAAACTCTGCAAACAAACGATTTCTGTAACTGTCAATGACACTTATGCTCTGGTCAACAGGTATTTTGACCCACTCCATGTGAACAAACTGTTGTAGTTGCCTCAGGTTTGAAGGGTTCCTTCTCCAGACGCATGTTTCTGCTCCTTTCACAGATGTTCAGTAGGATTGAGATCTGGACTCACAGAAGAACACTCCAGAACAGTCCAGTGTTTTGATCTTAGTCATTCTTGTGTGTTTTTCGCTGTGTGTTTTGGGTCATTATCATGTTGAAAGTCCCATGACCTACAACTGAGACCGAGCTTTCTGACACTAGGCAACACATTTCTTTCCAAAATACCTTGATTTTTTTGAGATTCCGTTGTACCTTGCACAGATTCAAGACACACTGAGCCAGATGCAGCAAAACAGCCCCAGAACAAAACCAAACCTCCTCCATGTTTCACAGTAGGGACAGTGTTTTTTTCTTGGTGTGTTTCATTTTTGCGTCTGTGAACATAGAGCTGATGTGTCTTGCCAAAGAGCTCTAGTTTTGTCTCATCTGTCCAAAGAACATTCTCCCAGAAGCTTTGTGGCTTGTCAATATGCATTGTGACAAATTCCAGTTTCAGTTTTTTATGATTTACTTTCCACAGTGGTGTCCTCACATGAAGTCCACTTTGGCTCAAACAGTGATGGATGGTGTTGACACTGATGTACCTTGCCCTTCGAGTTCACATTTAATTTGTTTGGAGGTTGTTCTGGCCTCTTTGGTTCCATTTGTATCATCCATCTCTTCATTTTGTCATAAATTTTCCTTTCGTAGCTGCGTCCAGGGAGGTTGTCTACAGTCCTGTGGACCTTAAACTTCTGAAGAACATGTGTAACTGTAATCACAGGAACATCAAGCTGCTTGGAGATGATCTTATTGTCTTTATCTTTATCCTGCTTGTCTATCATTTTCTTTCTAGTCTCCTGACACAGTTCTTGTAATGATATACAGGTCACAAGAGGGCGCTGTCGCGCTTTCAATGTTTCTCATTTTAACAACGAATTACAGGTTGTTGTTCGCTCTCATTAAAGCAGTTGCTAACTCGCACACGTTGTAGCAAGTCGCATTTCATTACAGTTCTCTTCTCCTCTTTTTCTGGTCCATGTTCAGTGTTGTGTCCATCATGTCTCCAAACAGCACAATGACACATGTCGCCCTTTAAACAGACAGACTGACTGAGGACAAGTCTGAAGAACCTGTGATGCAGATTAGAGACACACTTAAATTTAACATGTCCCTATTGTCCAAGTATTTACAATCTTTTCTAGGGGTACAATAATTTTTGTCCAGGCCAGTTTCATTATTATTATTATTATTTTTCATTCTGTTGAACAACAATTCAAAAACAGTGTCAGGATTTTCATTGGTTATTTTTCTTAGTTTAAAGTTATTGAGGTAAAAAATGTAGATTTTTCTTTATTACCAGAGGGGTACCAACAATTTGATCCACGACTGTACCTGAAGTTGTCTTGTTTCATTTACACAACCTTTATCATTACACTAACAAAGCTCAAAATGCTCTGTTCCACCTTGTGATGTCACGAAGCAAAAGTTTTAAAGTTAACATCTACTTTTAAACATTAGTTCCGTTAGAGATCTAAGGCTGAAAACATCCAAATGAGTTTAAAAAGGCAGGGGAGCACTTCCTGTATTACCACATCACATCACAAGGCGGAATAGAAGAAGAAGAACTCCAGGTCTATTTATGACGAGGAAACAACTTTATAACATGGATAGGAAATCATGTAATATACAGAAGGGACAGTTCAGAATTTTGGACATAGGGCCTCATTTCCTAGTGAGTCAGAGTGTTGGAGACGTGTGGAGACACTTTTTAAAATATTCCATCCAGTCCTTGTATTTGCAGAGGTCACTGGTGCTAGGCTAGTGCATGTCAATGGCCATAGTTATCCTGCCACTAAAAACAGTCTTACCCACTCCACAAAACACCCAAAGCAAATCTATTATTACACCAGACTGTCCATGTGAATGTCTGTGTTGATGGAATAATATTTGAAATAAAACTAACCTTGCATCGCATGAATCTTCAGATGTTGAGGGACTATTTTCTCATATATCAGTCCGCCGCTGTCAAGCTTTCTATCACGAAGTACAACTCACTGCTGCTCAGACATAAATCCTTCAAATGCAAGGTTTACTTTTAAAATTATTCTATCGACACAGACATTCACATCATTTTTCAGTGTTATAATTATTTTGTCTCGGGTGTTTTGTGGAGTGTGTAAGAGTGTTTGTAGTGGCAGGATAACTATGCTCATTGACGTGCACGAGCCTAGCACCAGAGACCTCTGCAAATACAAGGACTGGGTGGAATATTTTAAAGCGTCTCCAAAACTCTGGCAAACTATTTGTTTTTGGCAATAAACGCACATGCCACCCACCAGAAAAATAACATCCTGCATTTTTCCGTGTATTGTCAGTAGCTGTGTAATGTCATTGTATGCTCAGTGAAGGTGTGCGTTTGTATTTCTGCGCATTGTTCTGGGAAAAGTGGGACAAAATGAGCTGCAGGCTTTTCCCAACGCCCTCCCACCAAATCTCAATACACCACATGCACGAGTGAGTGGAGTCTGTACAGAGATGTGAGCGCTCAATAAAGGGGATGTATTCGATTGTTACTATTACTAATGGTCAGTGTTGGGGAGTAACAGATTACATGTACCAGAGTTACGTAATCAGAGTACAAAGATACTAAACCAGGTCTAAAACCAGGACTAAACCAGGTCTAAACCCAAGTGTCTAAACTAGGTCTAAACCAGGACTAAAGCAGGACTAAAACCAGGACTAAACCAGTTCTAAACCATGTCTAAAACAGGATTTAACAGGACTAAACGAGAACTAAACCAGGACTAAACTAGGTCTAAACCAGGACTAAACCAGGACTAAAAAAGCAGGACTAAAACCAGGTCTAAACCATGTCTAAAACAGGATTTAACAGGACTAAACCAGGACTAAACCAGGACTAAACCAGGTCTAAACTAGGTCTAAACCAGGACTAAACCAGGACTAAAACCAGGTCTAAACCATGTCTAAAACAGGATTTAGCAGGACTAAACCAGGTCTAAACTAGGTCTAAACCAGGACTAAACCAGGATTAAAGCAGGACTAAAAGCAGGTCTAAACCAGGACTAAACCAGTTCTAAAACAGGTCTAAAACAAGATTTAACAGGACTAAATCATGCTGCGCAGACGTGTCTCCTCCTCTTCTATCAATAATATTTTTAATTTGGTTCAGTAAAGTCTGGGCTTTTTATTTTCTTTTAGCAGATAAAACATCTTATGTGAAGATTTCCTCGTCTTTGTTTCTCTACAGCAAATCAAGTAATCCAAAGTATTCAGATTATGTTACTCACCGTAAGTAACTTCATGGATTCCGTTACAAACTACATTTTGGGGTATGTAATCTGTAATCTGTAGGGGAATACATTTTAAAAGTAAACTTCCCAACACTGCTGATGGTACTACAGTGCTTAGACTTCTGGAACTTTTCTGGCGAAGGCTCTGTCATCTACTTATCTCCATGAAGATGTTATTGCTTTGCTTGAAATGCCCGAAAGTAACAACCACTTTTGGGCAAAAAAACTGCCTGTAATTGGAGGTTTATCTTAAAATGATTAAATAAATCTTTAAAAAATGATGTTGGTCAGTAGTTTTTGAGTTACTTCATTGTTAATTTCTGTATTTGTTTATATTGTAATTTTGTAATATATTCTGAGTAAGAACATGTTAAACGTTTACTTATCATTAATGGTGATATAAAACAGAAAAAAAAACTGCAGTGGGATTAGTTGTTGAGATTTTTAGTTCAGAACATATACAAACATAACTTCAGAATAAAATAGAAAAGAGGCAAAAAATAATATAAAGCAGATTAATTCAGATATTCAAGTACAATATCACTCAAACAATAATAAAACAAAAAAGTCACTGAACATAGCTAACAATCAATCTTTTAATAAAAAATTCATCTAAATTCTGCAAAAAACTAGAACAGCAGCAGCAAATACGCCATAAGACCTATAATCAACTGTTGCGGAGGAATGGCGCCATCTTGTGGTCAATAAGTGCAAGGACGCAGCAATCCTGTGTGGTGTCATGTTCTCCGTCGCTTTCTTGGTTCATTGTCTAAAAAAATGAAATAAATGATATTCAAAAAAATGCAAGTACAATCTTGAAAAAATTATGAATGTACTGTGTTACCATCTGAAGTGCTAGTACTGGCAGTAGGAGTATTATCTGTTGTTGAGTTGGAACTTGACGTATGTAATAAATATTTAGGCACCCGCTGAAAACAAAAAGACAGACAAACTCCATTCATGTGTACCTCTGTATTTTTATTGTCACTCTAATCTCTCATAAAGATGTGTGTGTGAGTGAAAGTGAATTTGCTTCTGACGTCACAGCTGCCTTGGAGCTTGCTGGGGCAAACGTGGCTGCCAAAATCTGTGCCAAAAATATGAAGTGCATATGGCAGATTTTCTTCTTCTTTTTTTTTATTTTTTATTTTTTATTATGACTTGGTGGAGGACCTCTGGTGAATATTTAGCATCAGATAAGTGGCCATTTGTGAAGAATGAATGAATAATAAATGAAGAATTATGAAGAATGAATGAATAATTACAGGAAGTAGTGCACTGTGCAGAGTTCAAATTCACAATTTACAAATATCCCCAAAATAGTCAAAATAAATCCAAGCATTTCTTTAAGCTCAATCTAAAATATAATTATGTTAAGTACGCTTCAGTGAAATGGTAGGTCTAACCTGCCATATGCAATTCAAATGATTATGCAATACCAAAGTCAGTGACTGGAAATACAGTGTTATAAGCTTAAATAACTCATAATAGAACCTTAAAATGTTGATGCAGTTTACCGTTATGGACTGGGGAGCAGTGGGGTCTCTGTTAGACCTGGTCTGGACTCTCTCACTGTGTCGTGCTGATCCAGAGCTGCTGTGGTTTAAAGTGGACGGGCGGAGTCTGCTGCTCGTCTCATCAGCTTCAGACAAAATGTCTTCCAGCTCTCCATCACTGATGTCCGCCTCTGCAGCAAAACTACCTACAGGAAGAGAAGATCATTATCTAACACAATGCAGAGTTTCAGCTGAATGTGACTTGGACACAAAACATTAAGTGACTGAAATTCAGTCAGCTATTTAAAAAGGTGCTCTATGTAAATGTTCTGGTGGGAAACTTGCCACCTCCTTGTTTCCATAGAGATGTTATGTCTTTCCCTGGAATGTCTACAGTGGAATGACCTTAAACTTATCATGGACACAAGCAGGTGAAACCACCATGCCGATTTACAGGTTGGCTCTGTGGAATAGGTACCCTGCTCACAAAAAAGACAATGTTTTTCCAGTTACTTACAATAAAATGCATCCCAGTGAATAAATGCTATATAGCTAAATTTAATGCCATACTGCGGAACAATCCAAGCAAAGCAGGTTGCACACAAGCAAGCACCAAAACAGTTTACACAATGCAAAAGTTGTTTGTGTTAAGATTTTGTGTTTCAGTTGCTATTACACAACTAAACATGATTCTGACAGTGACAGTTTGCTATTGCGCCCAAAGAATTCTCTTTGATATGATATGAAACGTGTGGGTGCTCATGTAAAATGAGTGTTTCTTACCAGGTTGGTTGAGAGTGGCTTCACATTCTGGACAGATCCAGGAGCCCTCTGGTCGCTCGCTCACTGCAGGTCTGAGGCAGTTCATATGAAACCTTTGAGGAAAGTATAACATAACATTAACCTTCACAGGGTCATATATGAGGCCTGTAGTGTCTTATCCTTACACAGTCTATGGTCTTACCCAGAGTCACAGTGGGAACACAGAAGCATCCTGGTCCTTCGGTCGCTGCGGCCACAGTTTTCACAGATCACAGCCAAATGCTCCTCCTCCAACTCCTCAAGGTGTTTAGGTGCAGTGACTTTGATCTGCAGAAAGGAAAAAACATTTGAGACTGTGCATGTAATTAGTAAATTATGGGACAGTTTAGTTTAAAATTCAAATCAAATCCAAAAGTTTATATTGCCATTTTCAGAGTACAATAAAGCACTCTGCTACTTATTTAGAATTAATTTGTATTTACATTTATATTTTTGACTCTTGGTTCTTATGATATACAAATCATTTCCCTTGTGGATCAGTAAAGTTTGTCTAAGTTTGAAGTCAATTGGAAGTGTGATGCAAACCTATGAAGAGTAAAAAGTATAAAACAAATGATAAAATATATTATTTGAGCTTTAGTTAAAACACCGATGGAAAACACAATTAAATCATGTTAATGAAAAATATACAGTTGGATAGATAATTAATACGAGAATTAATACCACACTATGAAGTCCATGATGCTAAAATATCATGCATGGTAGTAAGATAGAGGGCACAATAACAGCAAATGCAAATGAACACCAACTGTGTATTAATGTAGTGAACACAATGGATGGTTACCTTCTTCTGAATGACTCCTCCGATCCGCCTTCTCTGGTGGATGATGGTAAAAGTGGTCCGGTCCACAGGGCAGGTGTTGGCAGTCTGTTCAACCACTCAGAAACGGTTAATATTATTCATGAGATTGCAATAAAGTTGAATCTTTTAACTGACAGAAAATATTAGTCCCTTGGAAAAAATAAATTTCAATTCAGACCAAATTTCTAAAGGATTCTGACTTCACTAAGTTGGACGCATAATATTTAGAGGAATAAATAGACAGCACTTTTTGATAAAGGTGTAAAATTTTATATTGTGACAAGCCTACTGTCATGAATTTAGAATTTGCACATCTTCAGCTTTGTGAATAAATGTCTTGCACAACAACACAGCTAATTATCATTGCCAGTCCCAGTGTTTTTAAGCAGACTCTTGAATTAACACTTGAATTGGTTTCTGTAGACGTCTTCTGCGAACAATGAAAATGGATGCTAAATAACAAGGCAAGTTTGAATTGTTGAAGTCAGAAAGTTTGAATGTTGTGGGGGTGGAATATTTTGAAAATATAAACTAATATAACTGTTTCTGCACTCTGCCCATTCATGACTAACATGTGAGTCAGTATAGTCACAATTTCATTGTGTTTTGGTCGTTTTTAAGCAGCTTTGGATATTTTAACAAAACAAATGACAACAATTTATGCCTCTTTACTGTTGGCAGGTATCAGATTGGTCCAAAATAGGGACATCTGGGACATTTCTTATATAAAACTGGGACAAATCAACGGTTTTGGGTAAATCTGCTGGGACAGGGAACACAGGGCTCAAAAGTGGGACTGTCCCAGGTGAATAGTGTAAATAAGGACGTCTGGTCACCCTAGTATAAACAAACAAAATCTCAGTAAGTCGATTCATTGACTTTATCACCCATATTTGACCAAAAACAGTAAGGAAACGCACTGAAACGCAAACGTTGTTGATAATACTGTATCCTGCCTTACCTTAGACCACTGGAGAATACATTCAAGACAAAATTCGTGCTGACAACTTTCAAGAGTTCCCACGGCTTGATCTTCAAATGGACCCAGGCAAATATAACACTTCTCAGTCGAAACTTCAGTGTTTTCTTTAGCTGGTTGTGGCTGCTCCATATTTGAATTACTACGGGTTTTTCAATAGTGTATGTGTACACCGCAGGCTATTTTCAACCACAAACTCTCACTTATAGGCTTTCTTTCTCTGCAAACCGCGACTTCTCACACTTTTAGCTCACTGAGGTTTGGCTAACCTGCTTTGGATGGCTGACACGCTTCTTAAAAGATCATAAAATAGTCGTGCTGTTTTGTGAGAGCGCCCCAAACAAATAAACACGAAGACCTCTGCACGACATGTTCGAATGGTTTGGCAAACTTCCGCCAGCTGGAAATCCACTTCCGCTTGACGTTTTCCAAAATAAAGGCGCGGTTTGTTTGTTTATTTGTTTACCTTTTTCCAGAATAAATGTAACAACTTTTAGGCAATTTAGGTGTTTAATTAGATGTTATTTTTTGTATTAATTTTTGTACTGAAGACTATATCAAGTAATAAAGTATTGTGCGTATATTAAATACTGAAATTATATATTTGTTTGCAGTGTTGGGAAGGTTACTTTTAAAATGTATTCCCCTACAGATTACAGATTACATACCCCAAAATGTAGTTTGTAACGGAATCCATTAATTTACTGAAAGTGAGTAACATTGTTGTGTACCACTGGAGTGGACCCCAAAAACAGACTCAGAACGAGGGCAAAAATGCAAAAAGGAAACAAAGGTTTCTTGAGGCAGGATAAGCAGTGGAGGAGCGAGGAGCCAGGAGCTGGAATGCCGGAGTCTTCCACAGCGGGAACTAGAAAATACAAAAATGCAGGTAAGTAACAGGAAGCGACGTAGAACCACAAACTGAGCCAACTGGTAGAATCACCATCAGGTAGACGAAACAATCTGGCAGAGTCTGGCTGGAGAGCTGGGCCTTTGTAGCAGGCTTGATTGCAGATGGAGAGCAGGTGCTCCCAGCAGACTCCGCCCACATCCACACAAGGAAGACTCAGGTCACAGGCAGGGGCGTGACAAACATAATCTGAATAATTTGGATTACTTGATTTGCTGTAGAGAAGCAAAGACTAAGGATATATTCACATAAGACGTTTTGTCTGCTAAAAGAAAATAAAAAGCCCAGACTTTACTGAACCAAATTAAAAATATTATTGATAAAAGACGAGGAAACACCGTGCAGCATGGTTCAGTCCTCTTAAATCCTGTTTTAGTCCTCTTTTAGTCCTGTTTTAGACCTGGTTTTAGTTCTAGTTTAGTCCTGGTTTAGACCTGGTTTTAGTTCTAGTTTAGTCCTGGTTTAGACCTGGTTTAGACCTGGTTTAGACCTGGTTTAGAGCTGGTTTAGTCCTGGTTTTAGTTCTAGTTTAGTCCTGGTTTAGACCTGGTTTCGACCTGTTTTAGTCCTGTTTTAGACCTGGTTTAGTCCTGGATTAGACCTGGTTTAGTCCTGGTTTAATCCTGGTTTAGACCTGGTTTAGACCTGGTTTAGACCTCGTTTAATCCTGGTTTTAATTCTAGTTTAGACCTGGTTTAGTCCTGGTTTAGCCCAAAATGTGAAAACAGGAAAATACCACCATGTAATCCATTTATTTCAACAGAGTAACTGTAATCCAATTACCACTCACTGAAACAGTAACTGTAACTGAATACAGTTACTCATCATTTGTACTCTGATTACGTAACTCCGCTACATGTAATCTGTTACTCCCCAACACTGTTTGTTTGAATATTACACATTGAGTTAATGCTTAACCACTGAAATCTGATATATATGTTTAAAGGTACCACTGTGTGAAAACATATATATATATTTTTAAGGTATTCCCTTTGCAGAGATGAAGGTTGTGTATTTTTAAGGAAATTCTTTACAGAGCAACTGCGGTGGAGTCGTTTTGGCTGGCACCAAGCCTAAGTACACTTGGCTGTATTTAAACCTGGCTGTCATCCCCTTATGGCAAAGGACAACGGAGAAGCTTCAGGGAGGTTCCAAGGCGTGAACCTGCTCAATATATCATTTGCATATTCATACTGATGTTTTATATTTCTGGGCTGAGGGAAACTCAGGCGTTCAGACCGCCTGATGTAAGTCCTGTGTAGCTGTAGGCCATCAGGGACAGTGATTTGACCCAGAGCTCTGTGTTAGAATCGTATTGAATAGGGAATACATTTTTGTGATTTTAATCTATCAATTCTAGTCTTTATTTCTCTGATAGAACACACCTAACAGTACCCTTCACAAAAATCAATCTATCATTCTGTATAGACCCGTTCATGGCCTTGTTGGGCGTTGTAAATGTGTTTTACAGACTTTAATGTTTGCTTGCTGTGTTTTTTTGTGTCAGAACCAGAGGAACTGCACTTGTGACTAAAAGGGTGTGTGCCATCATTTGTACAGTAGTTTTAAATTCATCCACAATTATAGTCTCTCGGAAAGATTACATAAAATGTGTCTTGAAAAAAATCCCAAGACATCCAAAAGTCAATAATAATTCAAGTAACAAGCCAACATGATTAAACTACTTCTAATGAAGGTACCAAGACTACACCAGAAGGAAGGAAGAATGTGCTCTACTGCAGTGTTCTCCACGCCACACATTTATTATTTTGTTTTTCAGTAAATTCTGTTTTCTTTGCTAAATTCATCCCACTATTTTTCAGGAGAAGCTTGAGTGGATGCTGAAAGTCCAGAGCTCGTCCCCTCTCCATTTTCTGTAGCAGCAGGAGGTTCTGGCAGGTCAGGAGATGGAGATGTAAGTTGTTTGCAGGGCCCCTTCAAATGCCTTTTGTGCAAATATGTAGTAGATAATAGTAGATAACCTGTTATGTCCAATCTACAATATTTTGTACTGTATTTCCTTGCCCAACCTCTTGTACATAGCCTATATTCATTTTATATTTACTATTGTTTAAAAGTTCATATATCAATCTGCATTTGTGTATTATTGGACAACCAGTTTGGCATTTACCTTGCCAATAGTAAATGCAAAATAGAAGTTTTTAATGCTAAAACCCCCCACCAAGAAATAGATGCTGTTACGGCCCTAGGCCTTTAGTTCTAATTTGTTTTGTGTGTTCTAATTATTTTGCTGAGCTCTCCTGATTCCTGCTGCGGGAGCTCTGGTCCATGATTGGTGGGCAGGTCTATGCCCACCTCACCTGCAGCCACCACTCCCTACTTAAGGAGATGACCAGCACCTGTTCAGGGCTGCTGGCCTTGGTGGTCAGTATGCCATTTTGTGTTCTTGTGTGTAGTTTAGTTTAGTTCTGTTTTGTGCCTTTTTTTGATTTGGTCACTTGATTCTGTTTGTGGGCTTATGTGGTTTAATTTGGGGAACTTGACTTTTGGTTTCGCATTTGTCCCTTAATTTTAGCACTCATTTTGTGTAAGCCTGCGTGACCCCTTTTATGGCGCAAAACTCAGTTTATTCTGTTGTTCTGTTTCTTAGTTTAGGTTATTCTCTGTATATTTTAGTCTTTTGTTAATTTACCTTTACATTCCTGTTAATTAAACATTATTTAATGTATTCCTTTTTACATCTTGGTTTTATTTTTGTTACTTCCCTCACCCCAATGAGCTGGGTTGTAACAGATGCGTTCCACAGATGTGACCTGTGACTTGACCTGATGGTGTCACCTGACTGGTAGATGGGTTTACTGCTATACTGTGGATTCCAGACAATATATACAATACAATACAATAACTTGTCCATATAATATACTATCTATAACTTACTAATTACAGCCACTATGATATGCACAACACTCATATCTATAATAAAAAGTTATATAATGCACTAATTGCACTAAGTATTTACTTTGTATAATTCTTAAAAAAAACAAAAAAAAAAACATGAGAATTCCAAATCAACCTTCCATTTATTGACAGATTTCCGGATGCTTTCTGATCAACTCCATCTTGTTCTTCATCTTCTGGAAACACACGGTTCTTCTGGTCACCTTCATCAAAGCACTTCTGATCTGCTCTTGTCCTTCATCTGCTGAAGACATGGTTCTTTTGGTCAGCGTCCTCACATCACTTCTGATTAGACCCCGAAGCTGTTTGTTTTGAGAATAATGGCTGGCTGATAAAGTTATTGGCTGGCTAGCTGGCTCAGTCAAAACTTAATTGGCTGCTGCAGCTGCCAAAATGTTCCTCCACAACGGAGAGAGCGAAGAGAAACTCAAAGCAGTGGACAGACCCGCAGCAGTCGCTCACTGCTCTATCTGCCTCTGTCTGGGACTGTAGACTCTTATTATAGTTTTGCTGACGTTGTTGGCACTGGTTGTGAGCAGTGTGTTATGTTGTGTTGTGAGGGCTCAGATTGTGCTGCTGTGTAAACTTTGCCCTCGGCTGTGCGATGTGCTCTGATAGTTCAGCCAACAGTGACCCAAATGTCCGGAGAGAGGGTTCTTCTGGTCAGCTTCATCACATCACTTCTGATCAGCTCCATCTCTCGTTCTTCATCTTCTGGAGACAGGAGACAGAGTTCTTCTCGTCAGCTTCATCAGATCTCAGGACCAGGGCTCAGCTGGCCCCTCCAAACCAGTCACCATGGGAACAGACACAGAAACAGAAACAGTGTTAAGGTGTGTGCACATTCAAAATAAGCTACTATCTTACCTCATGTTTCTTTATTATTAGAGTCAAATTATTTTAATAAGTTAAGATGACAGAATAAAACACCTAAACCTAACATAACATAATTTCTCAAACAAAACAACACAGGGGAGAAGCAGGAAATGTCTCACCAACCAGTGAGTTAGTGAACAAGCCCAGCTCCAGATACAATCATTCAGAACAACCAAAGCCACTATTTCCGAACAGTATTCACATAGACTGTTAACAAAGGCTATTGTTGTTGTTTTTTTTACCATTACATAAGACTTTAAAAAAAAAAGAGGAGAGGAGAAGCAGGAAGTGTCCCACTGACAGTTGAGTCAGTATGGAGCCTGCCTGATGGCGTATGTGAAAAAAGATACTAAATCCTTCGTTTTAGTTAATTTGTTCCCATGTTTTGCTGATACGTTCCCACGCTTTAGCCAACTCGTACACATCACTAAGGGGTCAGCCCATTGGTGAGAAAGCCCATTAAGGCCGAACACACAACACACACACACCGCACACACAGTAGAGATGCTGGATGCCTTGTAACGTGCCACACTGAGCACCAGAACTAAAGGAGCCACAACCAGGACTAAAACAGGACTGAACCAGGACTACACCAGGACCAAACCAGGACCGAACCTACCCATGTTATTAGCAGATTTTATATATGTACGTCGCAGCTACAGAGCTGAGCACCAGTAGAACTACA